TCTATTTATACAAGAACGTTACCATATTGTTATAAAATATACTTGAAATTTATCTAATCCCTGTATTGTTTGCAACGTTGTCATGTAGGTATATGAAATTTTTTATTCCTTTTTTTTAACTGTTTTGTTTTTGTATTAGGTACACAGCCGCCCTCAGTAACAACACTTTCCCCGAACATTTCACTTTTGGAGTAGGAACGTCTGCTTACCAAACTGAGGGATTCGGAATGGAAGAGAGAGGTGAAAACATCTGGGATCACGCGATTTTAGCTAATCCCAAGATCATCGAAGACGGTTCCAATGCTAGTTCGGCTGATGAAGCCTACATACATTACGAAGATGATTTTAAAGCGTTGGCGCAAATGGGCGTTACTCACTATAAACTGTCTATTTCTTGGTCAAGGTAAGTTGTTGGTTGGTAGTTCCTTTTAATTCGAACTTCACCATTGTTCTACATGTATTTTGAGTTATTCAACTCTCATCAGGAACACTTGTGGTAGTTTAAACTGAAATTAAATGCAATCTAATTTAGCTGTTATAGTAACATAACAGGTCCCAGCACGCTAGAAAGTACGTCTATATGAAGCAACAAAAAGTCAGGAGACTTTCTAAGTGAATTAGATGAACCGCAAATCCAAAGCTGACTGAAAACTATTGGACATATTAGGAAAACCTTTTATTCCGACAATATATATTTAGTTCATTCTTGAAAAAACTATCTTTTGCATCTCTTTACGTAGCGAAAAGACATTAAAATAAAAGTATACGATTCATTTCTTTCAATTAGAACTCCCCATTGTTCTACAGTGTTTCGATTATTCAACTCTCATACAAACTTGGGTAGTTTAAGCTAAAAGTGCATCTTATTTAGCCGTTATAGTAACATTTGCTATTGAAGAGAAGTCTCCTGACTTGTTGCTTTGTACACATCGCTGCTAGTGTATTGAGGATATTTATGCTCTCTCGTGGACAGATATCCACTTAAAAGATACTTTGAGTTTTTATCTGAGTACCATATGATTAGAAGTCATCATCCATTCATTATCTCAAATTTTATTTATAATTTTATTATCTAGTGACATAGCCATTTCATTACTTAGATTTTCTTACAGAGAAAGGTCCAGTAGAGGCTCGTTATCTGCTGTAAATGCACTCGTCAGAGCCTTATATACATATGTAATTGTTGATTTTACCACCATGGTGTCTATCCAATTAAAGATGTCTGGTTTTAAATCCCATATTTTTCTCATCAGTGCTGGCTACCATTAAAGTAGTCACTGCTGTCTTAGGTACTCGTTTTATTTGCTAATATCAAGTTAACTTCTAGTTTAATATTATTCCAAGATATTTTACATCACTCACCACTTAGTTTGTACCATTCAGGCTTGAAGAATCTAATTCCTCTAAATTCCTCTTTCGGATTAAAGCCATACATTTTTAGTCAAATTTGTAACTAACTACCAGTACATTTTCTGTAGCTTGTTTCTTGTATTTCTTGTAGGCGAATTACTCTTGTGATTGATTCGAAAGAAGGTGTTGTCGAATACTTTCTATTACTTTTTGGTTTTTCAGAACGTACTCGAGGTGGTGCAGTACCGTTTCCATAGAGAATATAAATATGCCTACTATCACTGTGTATCGGTTTTTGTATGACCAATATGACTATTCCTAATATACTTGTCGAGCAGTTTTTCATAGTGTTCAGTGTAAACATCAAGACTTATTGTCCTCAATGACTTAGCTTTTTCTTGTCTGATTTTACTAGGTTTGGGTATAAAAGCCATCCTTATTAGCTTCCACGCTTTTGGTATGTACTCTAGTCCTAAGCTAGCCTGCAGTATCATACATAATTTTTATAGAGAAAGCTTATTACATTCTGTAAAAATATTGGATTATTCATGTGCAGACTCATGTAACTAGCACAGAATTTTCTTAGCTATTCAAGAATCCCAGCGACAATCCAAGGCTATGTTAAAAAGATTTTTGAGGACTTTTACGAGCTTGATTCACAAAGGTTTCATATTTTACAATTTTTTATCTATCCTGCATAAAACACTGTTTCAGAATGATACCAACAGGATATACTGACAACATTGATGATATCACATATGGAACGACACACTACAACGTACTAATCCGCGAAATGGCACAAAATAACATCACTCCTGTAGTGGTAATTTATCACTGGGACCTTCCACAGCCCATTCAAGACAATGGAGGTTGGAAAAACGAAAGTACCATCGACGCCTTTGTTACGTACGCTCGAAAAGTGTTTAGGTATTGTTATAAAGCTAAGTATTTTATAACGTTCGATAATCCAAGAGCTATTTGCAAAAATGGATATGGAGATGGTAGTTTAGCTCCATTTTCATCCAATTCCGGTATTGATGATTATGAATGTGCCAGGATCTTGCTCAAGGCTCATGCTGCTGCTTATAAAGCTTTCAAAGAGGAATTCGCAGACCAAAACGGAGGTAAAAATTTTTTAATAGCAATTTGTATAATTTAATATCCCTAGTAATTTTATTTTTGAATTTTTTAAATTTAAGCATTTCATTACAAGATTTAAATCAATAGTGATGTTGATTGTATTAAAATAAAAGTATAATTTTTCCACAAAACAGTAATTCCATACTAGAAAACCTAAAAAATAATATTTTTTAAGTAATTTAATTTTTATTTAATAATTATAATGTAATTAAATCGCTCTCAAGTCACGTGACAATGGAAACCAATCACATTGTAAGACTTGTAAGCCAATTGTTCAACAACGTCAATTCTGTCAAATACTCCGTTGTGCTTTGTTCGGGTAACATACTGTGTTCTGTGAGACAACTCGAGTATCAATACGAAATTACCCCAGGTGAGTAGAGTTATACACTCAGAATCTCACACTGAGCAATCAGTCAGCCTCATGGATTCTGGGGGAGGCAAATATTCGACTGAATCTAATAAGAAAAACTACCCACCATTGCTTCGTATAGCCACTTACAATATAAGAACTATGAGGACCCAAGAACACCTTGACGAACTAGAACAAGAGCTCTCAAATATCAAATGGGATATAATTGGACTGTGCGAAACTCGCTTACCAGGAGAAGCATGTACCATCTTAAAATCTGGTCACCAACTATACCAGAAAAACTCCGTAGAAAATCATCACATAGGCGGTGTAGCGTTCCTGATAAACAAACGAACTCCCTATAAAATAACGAAGTACTGTGCTGTATCAAACAGAGTCATATATCTTGTCATCGCTTTGAACAGCAGATACAGCTTACAGATAATACATGGATATGCACCGACAGGAAACTCAACAGACGAGGAAGCTGAATCATTTTACGAGGATCTGACAACAGCAAGGAACCAAGAAAAATCACACTTCGTAATAATCACAGGAGATTTTAATGCAAAAATTGGAACAAAAGAAGACGGCGACACACAATATATCGGTCGCTTTGGGCTGGACAACAGGAACGAAAGGGGTGAGATGTTGTACAACTACTTAAACAACGAAAATTTATTTTGTCTCAACACTTTCTTTAAAAAATCTAAACAACGTAAATGGACATGGATCAGCCCAGACAAGAAAACTAAGAACGAAATAGACTACATACTCTCCAATAACAAAAACATATGCACCGACGTGACAGTCTTCTTCTTCTTCTACTTTTAGTAGATCTTTCGATCTGTTTAATTCTGAAGCTGCCTCTGGTTAATTTCTTGGGAGGTAGATTGCCAACTATCCCTCCATCTTTTAGGTGGTCTTCCGGGGGGTCTTGAACCGGGCGGATTGTTTTCTAGGGCAATTTTTGGGAGTCTATTCTCATCCATTCGTCTTACATGGTTGTACCACATCCTCTTGCGCTGCCTTCCCCATCTTACAATATCTTGAATTTTGCACTGCTCTCTAATGTTTGTATTTCTCACTCTGTCTCTTCTTGTTTTCCCCATTATTGTTCTTAGGGTTTTCATTTCGGCAACCCTTAGCATCTGTTTCGTTTTGTTGGTATCTTCGCGCACTTCTATGCCATATGTCATGATCGGTCGTATGCAAGTCTTATAGATTCTAATTTTACTATCTGTGCGCATATACGGATTTGACCAGACTATCTCCCGCAGACATCCTGACAGTGCAGATGCTTTGTTGATCTGACTCCTCAGGTCCTTTACTGGGTCGTGGGTGCTTGATATATCTATGCCCAGATATCTGAATTGCATCACCTGTTCTATGGGGTTGTCCTCAACCACTAACTTACATCTGAGCGGATCTTTTGCTATTGTCATACATTTAGTTTTGTTGGTAGAGATGTTCATATTTAGTAGTCGGCTTGTTTGAAAGAACTGAAAGAGCTGCCTTTGGAGATCATCTTCTGATTCGGCAATAATTGCTGCATCGTCTGCGTAACACACCATACCAATTCTTTTGTTGCCCATTCTATATCCGAGATTAAGAGATGTTACTTTGTTGATAATTTTGCTCATGAGAAGATTAAACAAGAAGGGGCTTAAACTGTCGCCTTGTCTAATTCCTCCCGGTGTTGGAATATTTTCAGTGAATTCGTCTCCTGCTCTAACTTTGGTTACGTTGTTGTTATTTAGGTTATGGAGTATCTTTGTTAAAAGGGGCTTAAACAAGGATGTTGTCTGTCTCCAACCCTGTTTAAAATATATATTCAATCATCGCTAGAGCAGTAGAGAAAACAAGTATCCGGAATGGGAATAGACATAGGCGGTGGTGAATGTCTAACAGCTTTATTTTTCGCAGATGATCAGGTAGTCGTAGCGAATGACGAGGAAGACATGGACTACATGTTTAGAAAACTAAAGAAAGAATATGAAAAATGGGGCCTCAATATGAATATGGCAAAGACAGAGTATCTTAAAATAGGAGATGGTGAAGAAGATCCAGAGTTAGAAATTAGAAACACAAAAACATGCAATGAATATAAATATCTCGGATCTATAATATCTAAAGAAGGCACTACCAAAAGAGACATCGAAAACAGAACACAGCAGGGAAAAAAAGTGGTAAACATTCTAAACTCTCTACTTTGGTCTAAAGATATTAGACAAGAAACGAAATTGACAATCTATCGAACCTTGGTAGAGCCTATTATGACTTATGGGGCAGAGGTTTGGCAGATAACGCAGAAGGATAGAAAAAGAATAGAAGTAGTAGAAATGGATTTTCTAAGGAGAGCGTGTGGTATATCCAAAAAAGATCACATCAGGAATGAAGATATTAGAAGGAGGACAAATACTGTATATTCCAGTGTAGATAGAATTGAAACGAGACAACTAGTGTGGTATGGTCACGTGAAACGAATGAATGAAGATAGATGGCCAAAGAAAGCTTTAAATTACATACCACAACAAAGAAGAAGAAGGGGAAGGCCTTCAGTTGCCTGGGAAGAAAATGTACGGCACATAATGAGAGATAGAGCCATCAGAGAAGACGAATGGATGGACAGAAAACGATGGCGGTCGAAATGCGAGAAGAAACGGCAGAGGCTGTAGGAACCTCGCTTATATATATATATATATATATATATATATAATATATATATATATATATATATATATATATATATATATATATATATATATATATTAATATATATATATATATATATATATGAGTATCTTTGTTATACTGGTCGGTGTTTCATTTTCTATTAATATATTTAGAATGTCTCCCAGGCGAACTCTGTCAAATGCCTTCGTCAAATCAATGAAGCAAATATACGCTGGCATGCCGAACTCTATAGCTTTTTCTTTTATTTGTTTTATTATAACTGACAGTGACAGTACTAAACAAATTCTATACCGGGAGTGACCATAGATTGGTTAGAGCGAACATTAAAATACAGACGAGAGTAGAACGAAGCAAACTTATTAAACGAGAACGATACCCAACCACCGATGTCCTGTTTCAAAAACAAACGGAATACCAAAAAGAGCTAAGCACAAGACTAAAATCAATAGAGACACTGAAACAAATGGATATAAACGGACTAGCCACTAAAATAAAAGTAACTGTAACAACATCGGTTAAGAAAATATGCTCAAACACGAAAACAGCCAAAACATCTAAACTCCAACCTAATACAATTAAACTACTCCAAGAAAGACGAAACAGAACAGATCGAACTTCGGACAGCTTTAAAAGTTTAAACAAAAATGTGAAGAAAGAAATCAGGAACGATCATAGAAACTATAATAACAATCTAATAAAAAATATAATACAAGATAACTGCAACATGAAAGTACTCAAAGCAAAAAACTCAAGCGGCACAACAAAAATCATAGAAATAAAAAATGAGAAAAACGTCACCGTCAGAGACAGAAAGGAAATAAGCGAGGCCATTGAAAAATTCTACACTAAACTATACTCGGTAAATACACAACCACAACAACGACGTACTCAACGAACAATAATTAACACCGGCTCAGAAGAAATACCGGACATAACCGACTATGAAATAAGAATGGCCCTAAATCAACTTAAAACGAATAAATGTCCGGGAGAGGATAAGATTACAGTTGAAATGTTGAAAATTGGTGGCAGAAAAATGGAACAGGTATTAAATGTTTTATTTAATAAAGTAATTCAATATAAGGTTGAATGTTCGAATAAATGAACTTTGATGGTACACAAGGCAAATATCGAACACAGTATTTAATTAAATCTTGCCCAAGTACTTTCGATCACAAGATCATCCTCAGGGGCATTTCGTCAATTGTGGCCTATCCAGCAATAACCGAATGTCATACATGTAAACTGGGACATAACAAATACACTAAAGACAAACAAACACTTTAAAATTTAAATTGGAGAAGCTACATTTTTATATTATAGAAGCCGAGATCATTCTGTCTCCGGCTTCTATAATATAAAAATGTAGCTTCTCCAATTTAAATTTTAAAGTGTTTGTTTGTCTTTAGTGTATTTGTTATGTCCCAGTTTACATGTATGACATTCGGTTATTGCTGGATAGGCCACAATTGACGAAATGCCCCTGAGGATGATCTTGTGATCGAAAGTACTTGGGCAAGATTTAATTAAATACTGTGTTCGATATTTGCCTTGTGTACCATCAAAGTTAATAAAGTAATTGATGAAGGAAAGATTCCTCAAGAATGGTACAACTCCGAAGTCATTTTACTATTCAAGAAAAGAAACAGAGCAAACATCGAGAATTACCGACCAATATCCTTGCTATCACATCTGTATAAATTACTAACTAAAATCATAACCAACCGCCTAACACATAAGCTCGATTTCTATCAACCTATCGAGCAGGCTGGATTCAGAAAACATTTTAATACCATAGACCACTTGCACACCGTAAGAACACTGATAGAAAAATGCACCGAGTATAATGTTCCAATTCATATGGCGTTCGTCGATTTCCATAAAGCATTCGATTCCATCGAATTATGGGCAGTGCTTGAATCTCTAGAAAATGCACGCATAGATTCAAGATACATTAACATAATTAAAAACATATATGAAAATGCCACCATGCATATAAAGCTGGACGAAAGCACAAAAACTAATCCCATAAGACTACAACGGGGAGTAAGACAAGGAGACACCATCTCTCCCAAACTATTTACCCTTGCTCTAGAAGATATTTTTAAGAAACTGGAATGGAACAATAAGGGTATCAACGTCGACGGATCATACTTAAACCACTTGAGATTCGCAGATGACATAGTTTTAATAGCCGATAATATCCAAGAACTAAATGATATGTTACAACAATTAAATGCAGTTTCAGGAGCGGTAGGCTTAAAAATGAACTACAGCAAAACAAAAATACTGAGCCGAGACCAGACAAATATAACAATACAAAATCATACCATAGAAAATGTTGAACATTATGTATATCTAGGTCATGTTATCAAACTAGGAAAACCAAATCAAGATGCTGAAATTAAAAGAAGAACACAACTGGCATGGGGCGCTTTCGGCAAACTAGCACATATCTTGAAAAACACCTCCATTCCTGTAAACTTAAAGAAAAAGGTGTATAACACATGCATACTACCAGTTTGTACCTACGGCTTGGAGACAGTAGCACTTACCAAAAAATCTGCCAAAAAATTAGAAACAACGCAAAGAGCAATGGAACGAATCATGCTTGGAATATCACTAAGAGACAAGATTAGAAACACCGAGATAAGACGTAGAACGAAGATTAGGGATATTGTGGAAGAAATTACAAAAATGAAATGGCGCTGGGCAGGTCACGTAGCCCGATATAATGACAACAGGTGGACACGGAGAATTCTAGAATGGAGACCAAGGACGACAACAAGAAGCATGGAAGACCTCAAAAAAGATGGGTAGATGACATAAGAGCAGTGGCAGGCAAACAGTGGATTAGATTGGCGCAAGATAGAGAAAGATGGAAGCAATTGGGAGAGACCTACATTCAGGAGTGGATGGAAAATGGTGGACATATAAGAGACTTGAAATTTGCCTACTAACGATTAAAACCTTTTGGAAAATGAGTTTAAGAAGTTTTCTCTCATCGTAGAAAGTACATTTATTCAAGCAGACAGTTTTGCCGAGAATTAATTGTTTTATGATGGTCAAAGTAATTTTTACTGTGCTAAATTTGGAAATAAAGAAATGTGGAAAATAAATAAATACATTTTCAGACATTTCTAATATAAAACAAAAAAAAGTATAGTTGCTATGCTACTTGATGCATAATTGGATTACATCCCTCATGGCGATGTTATTCGTGGAACTGCATCTTAATTGTTTGAGGAAAGGACTGGTGAATATATAATATTAAACGTCTGATGTATCTCGTTAATTCGCTATTTATATACCTGAAATGACGTATCAATGACATTACTTATTTATTATAAAACACGACTGAACTCAAATACGAGTAATGACTGAATGAATAATAATCGACTGCTGGTCTGTTTACGATTATATAACACCAAGCTTTGATTCTCATTATTAAGTTCACAATAACAATCAATTTCTGATCATGTAAGATTGAATTTGGAGTGCAACTGAGATATTTAGAGTAATTAGAACAATATTATTTATAATAAGATTATTTATGAATTATATTATCTTAATATCTCACCACACATTTCACTTTTTATAAAATTAATGTAAAAACTTTACATCACCTGACCGCCAAGTGGATATACTCTAGAAGGAGTATATCCCTATCAGAGATCCTTGGTTTAGGCTCTTATATAGCCCTTTCAGCAAATGGGATCCCATTTTGGATTAGGGTCGGTACTGATCTATTGGCAATAACGGACGAAAGAACGTGGAAAGGACCGAGGAAAGGTGGTTGTTCCTAAACTTTTCATGGTGGGTTTCTTCTTGGCGGGTCAGCGTTAACTCAACAGAAAAACCGCGATTTCATGTCACAAAACAAACGATATCTTTGAGAATATTTAGGTTGTCGTTGATAAGTAAACGCGTGGAGCGTAGCTGCGGTTGGGTTCTTATCTAGAACAAGTATTGTTGTGCAATAAGATTAAAAACCACAAAAAACCAGTATTCTTCTATAAAAATACATTAAATATTTTGAGTAATACTAGGTACTTATGTTTTAACTTATTTAGAAAAGGATTGTAATGGTGACCACCAATTTTTATCAGCTAAATTTCGAATGAAGCTAATAGGCGAAAGATTTACTTCTAAAAATACGCTTACAAACGGAATATGCCGACTATTTTTTTGCATTTCTACCGCATCAATTCATTTTTTATTCGATTAATAATTTCATGAATCGCTTCAAGTAAATTTTTTTGAGACATATCTCATCAAAGTAAATACCTTTTTTCTTCTGTAAATTTTTCGAAAAATTCTTCCTTTTCGAGTTATTGCAATTTTTGTTGAAAAAATGCCCAGAAAGCTCTTTGCAAGAAAAATTTGGAAAAGCCATGAAATAACATTCACTTATCATAGGAATGCTTGACGTAATTGTGGATAGTATTACTAAAAGAATTACAGATGTTTCTAATTTCAGCGAAACTTTTAATTTTAATAAATTATATATTTCCAGCCAAGGTTTCCATCGCTCTGGATGCTTCATGGTCGATTCCAGCATCGGATAGTGAAGCAGATATAGATGCTGCTGAAAGGAGAAATCTATTTGAGGTAAGTAAAGTTGTTTTTAAATATAGTTGAGAACCGTAGGTAAGAACAGGAAGTATACATTGGTTAAAGACTCTGGTTTTTAAATATTGGGGGTATTTTCTATTTCTTAGTATATGGGAAAGTTTTCCGAAGGATACCCAAGCCAACCGTATCCTTCTCTTTATTTCTCCGGTCTGATTTCTTTATTTAATTTAACTAGTTGTCCCAAATATACATATGCTTTTACTTGTTCTATAGTTGTTTGTGCAATTGTAATTATTAATTCTTTTGCTTGGTTGGTCATTATTTTCATTTTATTATAATTCATTTGTAGACCTATTTTTGTTGATTCGCTATTTAATTCATCGATCATATTTTGTAATTCTTCCCTTTTATCTGTTATTAATACGATGTCGTCTGCATATCTCAAGTGGTTCAAGTATTGGTCATTTATTTTAATACCCAATTTTTCCCATTGTAATTTCCTCATAACGTCGTCCAAAGCTTGATTGAATAGTTTGGGTGATATAGTGTCACCCTGCCGACTCCTCGCCGTATATTAATAGGCTCTGTTTGTTCAACTATTTTAATGGATGTTATTGCTTGATCATATATATTGGAAATTAAGTCCGTATATCTATAATCTATGGTTGGAACAAAGAAATAAAAGCAGAAGTCAAGTCCAAGAAGATAGCTTGGAAAAATTATTTAAGGAAGGGAAATGCAGACAACTACCAAATATATAAACTGCAAAGAATCAAAGTCAGAGATATGGTACTAGCAGCGAAACGGAAAAGTTGGGAAGAATTCGGAAACAAGATGGAAGAAGACTACCACTCTAACAAAAAGTTATTCTTTAAAACCCTGAAGAATTTAAGAACCGAAAAGGCTCCACAAACACCAAGTACAAAGAAGGACACTTACTGCATGACAATGACCACATCCTAGATAGATGGAAGCAATATTTCGAGGATCTACTGAATATCCAAAACGATGTAGACATTATCACAGAAGAACCAGAAGAGATAGAGCAAGAAGACCAAATTCAAGATGAAATAACTATAGCAGAAACAAAAGAAATCATACAAAAGCTTAAGAAAGGTAAGGCGGCTGGATTTGATAAAATCACAGCAGAAATGCTTAAAAACATGGGCGACAAGGGCATTGAACTGCTAACAAAAGTATGTAATATGGCATGGAATGAGAGCCAAATACCAAAAGATTGGGAAGTGGGAGTTATTCTACCTATTTTCAAAAAGGGAGACAGACGGGAATGTAGTAACTACAGAGGAATAATACTACTGAGTATCCCATCCAAAGTATATAAGAGAATACTAGAAAAACGTCTTTTACAAGAAGTTGATTCTAAAATGGAACAATCACACAGTGGATTTAGAAAAGGCAGAAGTATCCAAGATCACATTTTTACTATCAAGAAACTAATATAAAACGCACGGAACTCAAGCACTTAGTTATACCAAGCCTTTATACAGATTGAACGAAATAAATTCGGAACATAGGAATATAATGTATTTCGGCTCAATTCTGCTGTAGGTGGTTGGCCAACAAAATATTGTCAAATAATTATATTATAAAAATCCAATACTTCAGCGGGCTGCTGGATTCTGAACTCATAAAAATTGAAAGCTACACATAAATCTACGATTTATGCTGTCAAACCAGTTATAGTCCAGGAAATGAAGCATTTCAGCTCGCAATTTTTTCGTGCTCCCTGGATTGACTTGAAATTTAACAGAAGGTAGGTAATAGCCTAAGGATCAAAATCTATATCGAACCAAAGTGCGCCAAAGCCTAGGGGGTGGTTGCCACCCCATCTCCGGGGTGAAAATTTTTTTTACGTTTTAACTACAGGTTTCGATTAAAAAAGTGATTCTAAACAAAAAATGTGCTATACATTTTTTTTATAAAATGATATTTTTCAAGTTATCCGCGATTGAAAGTAATAACTTTTAGACGAAAAAATCCACGTTTTTAATCGATTTTTCGCGAATAATTCGAAAATGGTGCATTTTATCAAAAAAATTGTAGAGAACAAATTTGTAGCTTTTAAAAAGACAAATACAATTCATTTTTTAAAATGTTTTTGGGATATAATAGGAACCGAAATACGGCCTATCAATGTTCAGCGGTTTTCTTCAAATGCCAAATTTGAAAGATTCAAAATCAAATATCGGGAAAATGATGCATTTTTGGAAGAAAACTCACAAAACCTTTTTTAAAGAGCATAAATAGACCTATCATAAAAAAGACTCTAGCTCAAAAATTGAGTGAGTTATGATGAAAATAAGGTCAATACCTCATTTTTTACGAAAAAATCGAAACAACACCCTAACCTCCTCCATAATTAAAATCGATCTTTACCCTTCTGAAATTCCCTTTGTACATGTATTGTTAATACGTCCAAGAAGTTTGACCCATTTAAAATGCTTTGTGTTAGAAAAAGTACAGCTTAAAGCGAGAAACGATTTACAATTTCATATTTTTTACCCTTCTTTTTTTAAATATGCCCGAAAATACTGAATATATGAAAAAAATACAAATTACCAAATTGTAGCTTTTTTAATGACTAAAATTATCCTTCATTTAGATTTGTTGTACAATGAATATTTGGCGAGATATAGCCGTTTAAAGCATCGATTTACGATCAAGCACCATCTTTTTCGAGCCCTTTAAACTCACCCCATTTAAAAACCAAGGGTTCCAAAAAGATTTAATTCACAGATCCTTGTAGCTCTTAAAAACCTCTACAAATCGTTTTTGAAGAAACACTCTATCGTTAAAAATTAAAAGAAATACGTTAAAAAAACCAGTGAATTTTTTTCCGGAAAATTCTATTAGTATAGTACAGTACATTTCGGAGCATAATAATCTACAAAACCGGTATATTAGCTAGTGGGGCGTTATACATTCGAAATTTTAAGCGTTCTTATTTTGAAATCCCATACAACAGAATAAAACATCTGCTCATATGTCTATGGCTTGGCAATGAAAATATTAGAGCAACAGATTGGGGATGGTATTCCAAAGATGGTTTGTTATTACCCGTACGCATGAACAAACAACCTGCACTCGATGAACTTTTGAAAATTATTTTTTGGCAATGCAAAAAAGGATGCGGTGTTTCATGTGGGTGCAGAAAAGTTGGTTTATACTGTAACTCTACTTGTTCTGGGTGCTCAGGTGAAGGGTGCAATAATAGTCCACCAATAATTGAAGATGAGGATGACATAGATCACGATGAAGATGTAATTGATGACGAATAAAATTAATATTATAATTGTTTTACCTATAAATGTAAATATTTTCTACTATTTATGTAAATGTATAAGAATATATGGTGCCTTTTTATGTTGATAAATTTTTTTGTATTTAATTCTACTTTTTTCAATTTATATCTTATAAATTAGTTTATAAAAACTGCAATGTTGTAAAGGGTGATTTTCAAAAGTTGAAAAGTTGCAAAATTTTGGCAAAAAATTGTTTTCACCTATAGCACTCATAACAATTGATTTTTAAGGGTTGAAAATGTATGAATTTGTATTTTAAAGTATAAAAAAAATCAATATTTAACTAATCCAAACCAAATTTCACTCATCTTAAGATTTATAATATTATAAAATATAATATTATAATATTATAAATTTATAATATTAGAAATCATTTTCTTTGCATTACTAATTTTTTATATTAATCTCTAATAAGGGTCGCTTTTTAAGGGTTAAAATATGATGGAGCTTTATTCAAAAGCACGAAACTATCATTATTTAATTAATTCAAACCAAATTTTACCCATATTCAGGTTTAATATGTTATTTTATAATTTTTGACAATTACGGGTAGTTTTCACCCCTTAGAACAATCAGGGTTCGTCGACATGACATAAACTATAAAGCAGCGGGTGAATTGAGCTTAAATCCAAATTTTTATCCAAATCGATCCAAGGCGAAATCATTTTTTTAGAATTAGTAATTTTTTTACATTAACCTCTAACAAGGGTTGCTTTTTAAGGGTTGAAATATGATGGAACTCTATTCAAAAGTATAAAATAATCATTATTTAACTAATTCAAACCAAATCTTACCCATATTCAGGTTTAATATGTTATTTTATAATTTTTGACAATTAGGGTAGTTTTCACCCCTAAGACCCTTCAGCGCACTTCGGTTCGATATAGATTTTGATCCTTGGGCTATCACCTACCTTCTGTTAAAATTTCAACTGGATACATGCAGGACGAAAAAAATTGCGAGGTTTTAACTTTTTTCGAGATTCATTTCCTGAACTATTATCGTTTCCTTAGACAAACCCGTCTTACGCAAACAACATTGTTGTGAGACAGATAGTTGAACGATATTTTATACAATGTCTATACCCAGGTATGGATTTATTTTTGTCCAAGTTTTATATTGGTCCACTATTTCAAATGCAGTTCAAACAGACATGTATTAAATTGTATGTTCCGTTTTAATTTGGTTCAATCTGTATACTTAGAAAAAGCATTTGATAGTACTCCAAGGAAGGTGATTGACATATGTTTAAAAAAAAAAGGTTCGAAAATTAGGGGCAAGTCATTATGAGTATATATACACATACACGGAACAGAATCAGAACCGATAATATGGAATCCGGAGAGTTCACAGTAAATGAGGGTCTACGTCAAGGAGGAGTCCTAGGCCCCATACTGTTTAACATTATCTTGGATGACATAATTAAAGAAACTAGAGCAGAAACATTGAAATTATATGCCGGACATAGAAATCTAGATGCAGTGTGGATCTCAGAGTGTGCATACGCAGACGATCTAGTGACATTTGGGATAAATGAAGAAGCACTCAAACGAAATTTACAAAAATAGAAAACAAACGAAGATAACAGGCAAAATCGGCTTGACACGGGGAATTTAAAAGTTGCATTTTACAACATATCTCCTCATCCAAGCAAAAATCCTTGGTGAACTGGTTTCTTGTACTTATAAAGAGTAAACCGAAATAAAAGAAAAG